GGCCTTCTAGCCGGCCTTCTAGCCATCTTTCTATCCATTTATCCAATCCACATTCCCTTAACTTTCTGGCAAGAATATTGTGGGAGACCGTATCAAAAGCCTTGCTAAAGTCAAGGTATATAACATCCACTGACTTTCCCATGTCCACTGAGCCAGTTACCTCATCATAGAAGCTAATCAAATTGGTCAAGCACGACTTGCTCTTTGTGAATCCATGCTGACTATTCCTGATCACTTTCCTCTCATCCAAGTGTCTCAAAATGGATTCCTTTAGGATCCCTTCCATGATTTTTCCAAGAACCAAGGTAAGACTGACCGGCCTATAGTTCCCTGGATCGTCCTTCTTCCCTTTTTTGAAGATGGGCACTACATTTGCCTTTTTCCAATCATCCGGGATTGCTCCCGATCTCCACAACTTTTCAAAGATAATGGCCAAAGGCTCCTCAATGACATTTGCCAACTCCCTCGGTACCCTCGGGTGCATTAAGTCCGGACCCATGGATTTGTGTACGTTTAGCTTCTCTAAATAGTTCCTAACCTGTTCTTTACCCACCATGGGCTGTGCATCTTCATCCCATCTTGCGTCACTTAGCACAGAAGTCCAGGAGCCGACCTTGTCCGTGAATACAGAGGCAAAGAAAGCATTGAGTACTTCAGCTTTCCCCACATCATCTGTCACTAGGTTACCCCCTTCATCCACTAGGGGCTTGTACACCCTCTCTGATCACCTTCTTCTTGTTGACATGCCTGTAGAAACCTTTCTTGTTATCCTTCACATCCTTAGCCAGTCGCAACTCCATTTGCGCTTTCGCCTTCCTGATAACCCCCCGGCATTCTCGAACTATACATTTAAGCTCCTCCCTAGTCATTTGTCCAAGTTTCCACTTTCTGTAAGCTTCCTTTTTGTGCTTAAGTTCACCAAGGATTTCCCCTGTAAGCCAATCCGGTCTCCTACTAGGTTTGCCTCTCTTGCTACGCGTCGGGATGGTTTCTTTCTGTGCCTTCAATAAGGCTTCTTTAAAATACTGCCAGCTGTCCTGGACTCCTTTCCCCTTCATGTTAGCATCCCATGGGATTCTGTCCATCAGATCTCTGAGGGAGTCAAAATCTGCTTTTTTGAAGTCCAAGGTGTGTATTTTACTACTCTCTTTCCTTCCTTTGGTCAGGATCCTGAAATCTACCATCTCATGATCACTGCTTCCCAGGTTGTCACCCACCTCTACGTCCCCTATTAGTTCCTCCCTGTTTGTGAGGAGAAGGTCAAGCTGTGCACGGCCCCTGGTCGGATCCTTCAGCACTTGTACCAAGAAGTTATCCCCAACATTCTCCAAAAACTTCCTGGATTGCCTGTGTACTGCCGTATTGGTTTCCCAACAGATGTCAGGGTGATTAAAGTCCCCCATGAGAACCAGGGCCTGCGATCTGGAAGCTTCGCTCAGTTGTTCGAAGAAAGCCTCATCTACCTCATCCACCTGGTTCGGTGGCCTGTAGCAGACACCAACCACAACATCACTGCTGTTTGCTCCTTTAAACCTGACCCATAGACTTTCAACAAGTTTTTCTCCCTCTTTATACTGGAGTTCAGAGCAATCATAGTGCTCTCTTACATATAGTGCAACTCCTCCTCCTTTTCTCCCCTGCCTATTCTTCCTGAACAATCTATACCCTTCCATGACAGCGCTCCAGTCATGCGAGTCATCCCACCAAGTCTCTGTTATCCCAATTAAATCATATTTCTTGGCCTGGGCCAGGGCCTCCAGTTCTTCCTGCTTGTTGCCCAGGCTTCTCGCATTAGTGTACAAACACTTCAGGTAACCAGTTGATCGTCCTATCTTCTCCATTTGAAACTGGGGTCCTCCTTTCTCGCTCCTTGCTCTATGCATTTCTTCATGGTATCCGACTTTCCCATTCCCCTCAGGGTTTTGGTCACCGTCCCCGGACGAACCTAGTTTAAAGCCCTCCTCACTAGGTTCGCAAGCCTGTCCGCGAAGATGCTCCTTCCTCTCTTCGTTAGGTGGATCCCATCTCTTCCTAACAATCCTTCCGCCCGGAACAGAGTCCCATGGTCGAAGAAACCAAAGCCCTCTCTGCGACACCACCTGCGCAACCACGCATTTACGTCCTCAATTCGACGATCCCTGCCCAGTCCTTTCCCTTCAACAGGGAGGATGGACGAGAACACCACTTGCGCTCCAAAGTCATGGATCCGTCTTCCCAGTGCTACATAATCCGCAGCAACCCGCTCAAGGTCATTCTTGGCCGTATCATTCGTTCCTACATGACTCTGCATGTCTGTGTCTTGAATCTCCTGCCCCGTATGGACCCGGACCACACCAAGGAGACCCTCCTCCGGGATGCAGGAGCTCTGCTCTTGCCCCAAAACTTTTTTGGGAACACCCGACCACCACCACCCGTCGTTTCCTTTTGGGGGTGGTGGCCGTGGAACCCCCATCCCTAGGACTACGCATCCCATGCCTTTCAGTAGATGGTGCTCCCTTCTGGTTTCTTTGTGAGGTCCCTTCCAGAGCTTTCAGCACTGCAGAGCCTGTGGAGAGAGCTTGAAAGCGATTGCTTACCTCTATAGCATCGGGGGAATCCCGTGTTGGCCTTTTTCCCCTTCTAGAAGTTACATGCTGCCAGTTCTCTTCTTGGTCACGTACTGCCCTCTCTGGCTCCTCTGCCTGCCGTGCTTGAAGGATTAATTGCTGCCTTCTATCGAGGAAGTCTTCATCCTCTCTGATCAAGCGTAAGGTCGACACTTGGGCCTCCAGTCCTCTAATTTTTTCTTCCAAAATCTCGACCAGCTTGCACTTCGTGCAATTGAAATCCATTCTCTCTTCCGTGAGGAAGACAAACATGGCACACGCCGTGCAGGTAACAACAGCAGACCCATCATCAACCATCGCTGCTGTCCTGTTCACAAGCTCCTTGGTCGCTTGCCCACTGCCTTATAAAGCCCCTCCCCCTACCAAGGCTCAGCCAATCATGCGCGTGTTTCGCTCGCTCCCTGCCCGTTACCGCTCGCTGCCACTTGGATAGGCTGTGTTTGAAACGGAATGTGTGAAGACCATCCTCCGCTTGTAGCAGGCCCCTCTGCCAGTGGAGAGGCAGGTAGAGGAGGGACCAGTTTGACTGGAAGAGGGTTGGGTAAGACTGTAAGAGCAGAAGGAGCAGTTTGGCTTCCAAACCCTTCCTGAGGCAGGAACTCAGTCACCCCACTTCTTATGCCTTTCACTGCAGATATCTGCCCCTGCCTTCCTCAGATTCCACTAAGATCAAGTCAAGCTGTTGCGAGAGAGCTGATGCTCAGTAGGGATGACAATGTGTAGTCGAGTACCTGATTAACAGATAAACCTATGTTTACTGGTTAATCTTATTGACTATATGCACACACCCAGCCTTGCTGCCTCTGTAGTCTGCTTGTTTGTGCCATGGTATTGTGGGAGCTATAATTGTCTAATAATTCTGCAGGTGGGAGTCTTAACAGTTTGTGGAGAAAATTAGAGCTTCTTGAGGTAGATTGGTACAGATATAGTAACTTACTTAAATATCCAGATAATTTTACACATGCTTCACCATACTGTCAATACTAAACAGAATTACATAAACCAGGTTTCAGTGACTAGTATGTCAGGTCTAGCATAGTCTAAAATGAATATTATTTGTCTAACACTATAGATGTGCACAATATTTTACTATACAAATATAGAGAGATTTCCCTGCCCCAAAGAGCTGGTCTGTGCAACCCAACCTTTACCTTTTAGTGGAGACTCACTGAAATTAATTAGTCCTGGTACAGGAGTTTGGGTCCCCATCCATGCAGATCCAGTTGTGGGGAAAGGGCTTAAAAGAACAGGAGAAATCAACACAGGGATACAAAGTAACATCTCACAATTTGTAGTGCTAGTAGATATATCTATGATTTAAAATAATATTTTAAGTTATTAATGGATCAAGCTGACACCAGTCTTGTCATTTAAAAACTTTTGAATTCTAAATATATTACGTGTGTGTGTGTGTGTGTGTGTGTGTGTGTGTAAGTGTGTAAGTAAAAATCACAAGAATAGCCCCAACTTTGTCAATGTGAGGATATGTTATAACCTAGACAATAACAACTTTGTCCACTTTGCAGCTTATTACAGGTTCCTAGTGCTTTTCTTCAACTGCCTCTTGACTTTTGGCTCTTATTTCTGCTTTGATATTCCTAGTGTCCTTCAGGAGCAATTTCAAGGGGTAAGTAACTAAGTCACAAGGGGAAATATAATTTTTGCAAGGCCACCTTGACTGCAGTCAAAGTGGGGGCCTGAAAAGTGGTGTATAACTAAAAAAGCAGAGATTCCCCATCACAACAGAAAATTTTAAAAACTATTCTAATCCAAATAACCAAGAACCTGAGATGTTATGCTGTGAAAAGGTCTATTGCCCATGATACACGCCTAGAAAGACGGATTCCCCATGTCCAGACTGTGAGAGTACAGCAGAGAGAGTAATATGTGTAAAGCAAATGCAAGCAGTTGAAGGAACAATTGCTATTGTTGGTGATTTATGTATATGTTACAGGTTAATATCGTTCCCATGCTCAGTCACTACGTGGTATAGGTTGTTAGTATTAGTATCTGCAGGACCATAGATGTTCACAGTGCTTTGCAAATAATAGGTCTCTGTTGTAGATTTTAAAATATAAATTCCTGATTGTCAGGAAGCCTAGAAATCCATTTGCTGAAAAAAAGTAAATTCCATGTTTTTCACAGAGAACTTTTAGTATTTACATTTTGTGAAAAAATAAGAACATATATAGTGGGAATCTGATTATCCAATCTAATTGGTACCATGGCCAGACTGAATAATAAAAAATTCAGTTAATCTGGAGGATGGGTGGGGCTTGGGTTGCCATCTTAAAACTTGCGAATACATCAGTAAACACTGTGTTTAGCTGGTACCTATAGATGTACTGTAAGTAGGGAAACTAAAATTCAGCGTTTAATTTTAAAGTATGGATTTTTATAGAGAGAATGTTGAGGGGTTTTATATCATGGAAAGATAGGATCCTTGCTGATGGAATATGTTCAGTCACTAGGAAAAGACTGGGTTTACTCATGTGTACCATCTGTTGATAGATCCAAGATATATGATTAGCTAAAGTTCACTGACCTTCCTAGGTTATAGAACTGGGCATGTGACTTTCAGAAGACCTGCACAAAATTCTTACAAACTCAGATAGTAAAGACTTTGCAGGAGTCCCCAAACTAAGCCAGGTTCAGAGAAATTGTGTGCATACTATTGCTACTGTTTTGTGGTGATGGCATTGAACTAGGGTTTAGGAGAACTGGTTCTAATTCCTCAAACCTTTTTGTAGGTAGCAGCTGGAATGAGCTCATTATTGAAGCGTCATTAGTTTTATAAAAGCTGTTGCACAACACTTTCTGATACCTTTATTTAGTAACAGATATTTGAATTACAGATTATTAAAATAAACAGACCAAGTGCATTTTGCAATGCAGTATCCTCACCTTTATCTCTGATTCAGATCTTAGTGGTGTATTTGTAAGAGGTGCTGAGCTTCCACGGGTCCTATCAAAGTCTACAAATGTCAAACCACAGTATTTCCAATGAGTTTCCCTGTTGTCATTGGGAGATAGCTAGGTTCTGCTGCAGTCTCTTATGATCTCTTGTAGATTGTTGCAGCTCCTTTGTCTTTGAGAACATTTTAATTACTGTCATATCCTCAAGATGGATAAGCTATACACACAAGGCCACTGAAAAGCTTTAAATTTCCTCTGTCAGGTTGGGAAGTGGGGGGTGGAAGTGAGTCTAGAAAAGAAGTCAAAACCAGGTTCTCATACCTATTGAGTCCCTCCACCAAAAAATGTTTTGGCTAATTATTGTATAATGCAAATGAGACCTCTATTACTGATGGAATATGGACTCTTTATGTTGACTTGTTACACAGAACCTAACCTGCCCCAATGGAACCCAGCATAATGGCACATTGGCTTGTGTAGAAGGTCTGGGGATGACTCCTGCAGAGTACAACCTGCTGTATGCAATTTATGCCTGGACGTGAGTCATCCTTCTTCTGTTTAGGGGTGGCATCATGTGCACTGGGCATAGGGGGTGAAGGGAGTAAAACCAAATGTTTATGGTATTCTCCATAGGAATGCACTGGTGGTGATTCTGGCTGGATTCCTGATTGATAAACTGGGAAATCGCTGTAAGTCCCAATTATTTCCTTATAGTGGCTCTTTCTTCTTGCACAGAAGTTACCTTTCTACCTATTCCTTCAGTGGAAAGAGGCTGGCATGCTGTTGTGTTCATTATGGTCCTGCGGCATGAAGCAATGGGATCAACCAAACGAGCAAACAAAAAATGGTTTTTCCTGTGGTATGGAGATAAGATGGGTATTAAAAGGCTGCTCCGTAGAATTATAAGCATCAAGGATCTCTGCTGTAAAAATTTGCACAGTTCCTCCTTTGGCCTGATGCCTGATAGTGGATCACTAGAATTGAATATGACGCACAAAAGTTGAGTAAATATTATCGCCTGACACATAATAAAAGGGAAGACAGGTAAGTTCAGAGCTGGCAGCGATCTGTTATCTAGAAGTGATGTGAATACCTGGTAGATTTGAATCCTTCTCCTCTATATGGCCTTCCCTTTGGTATTTGTTACCATGATGTCTAAGCTCCACACCACAGTAAAGAATGCAGCTGTGGCCATTCCTCCGTGCGGTAGGCTAGCATTCTTGTCTCTGGTTTTGCAGATGAGGACATTGGCCAAGTAACTTCACCTCTATGCCAAAGTCAGTGGCAGAACTGCAGTAGGATTTAGGAGTATGGAGCTTATAGGTTTGTGGTTGAGTCACGTAATATTCCTCTGCCTTGGTCTCCACATGTCTAAAACATGGTAATATTTCTGTCCTCTGCAAAGTGACCTAAGACCCATCAATAAAAGGCACTATATATCAGTATAATAATGTCTCAGAGCTGATCTGATGGGAGACCCAAGGATTTACCAGTTCTGGGATAAAAAGTCAGAGCCCCTCTCAAATTTACCTATTGCACAATAGTTTTCTCTGTTCTGTTGCCTTTATTTCAATGCATCCCTTTGTTTTTCTGTTTCCCTCCCTAGTTGGTGTCTTTTTTTTCTCTTTCTTGACTGTCTTGGGATCGTGCATATTCGCTCTGGGCTCTCACTTCAAGGGAACTCCATACCTTCTGCCACTGATGCTGACGGGACGGTTGCTGTTTGGATCTGGAAATGGATCACTTACCAGTAAGGAATCTGATATCACCTCTCCCAATTAGACCCCAGAAATGGGAGAGAGGACAAATGGGATTTTTGCCTCTGAGTCTTTGCTCCTGTAGTCAGACTTTCACCTGCTTTGTGCATCAGGAACCAGGCCTGAGTGGTGGTGATGAGGTGGAAGTATTGGGTCTGCTTGCTAAGAGTTGCAGAGCTTTCATCTGCCCTTCTAATGTTAAGAACTAGGGCCATCCAGCAATTAAAAAATTTAATTGTGCGATTAATTGTGTGCACCTCCCCTTTGAAATGCTGCCTCAGTGCTGCATGGAGCCCGGGATTAGATAGAGTTCCCAGCTGAGCCTGGGCTCCATGCAGCACTGCCCATTGGAAGCGCCACAGTGGCGCATCAAAGGGGCAGTGCAATATGGAGCCCAGGATCAGCTGGAGTGCTCGGCTAATCCCAGGCTCCGCGTTGCTCTGCCCCTTTGATGCGCCATCCCCAGCTGACCCCAAGCTCTATGGCTGCTCCTTTAAAACGCTGCCTCCGGTGTTTCGAAGGGGCAGCTGCTGTGGAGACTGGGGGCAGCTGGGGACTGCCCAGCTGATCTTGGGCTCCGCGCAGCAGCAGAACCCGGGGTCAATTGGGAGCACCCAGCTTATCCTGGGCTTCCTGTGGCAGTGGAACCCAGGATCAGCTGGAGAGTCCCCAGCTGGCCCCAGGTTCTGCTGCTGGGAGAAGCCCAGGATCAGCTGGAGTCCCCAGCTGACCCCGGGCTCCGCACTGCATTTCTCCAGAACCTGGGATCAGCTGGGCTTCACTGCCCCTTTGAAACACGTGGAGGTGGGGTTTCTAAGTGGCAGCTGCTACACAGCTGATCCCCGGTTCAGCTGTGAGGCGGCTGCTCCTTTGAAATGCTGCTTCTGCGCGTTTCAAAGGGGCAGTGGAGCCCGGAGTCAGCTGGGGAGTCCCTAGCTGCTCCCAGGGTCCGTGTTGCACTGCAGCAGCACTTCAAAGGGGCAGTGCAGGATTAAGACCTGCAATTAATGAGTTAAAAAACTTAATGTGTTAATCCTGGACAGCGTTAATCGCAGGCGTTAATGCATGTCAATTGACAGCCCTATTAAGAACTATTGTTTTAACCAACCTTTGCCCCCTTCTGGGAGTAGCAGCTGCAATACCAATGCTACAAAGCCACTTAACCTCCGCCTGTTGCAGCAGTGGTAAGGACGATCCCGAAAGGATGCTAAATTAACACACTGTATCTCTGCCTCAGATATCCAAGAGTCTCTGACACTGTTACCGTCTGGCCCATAGAGCATGGATTGGGAAGTGCCCCTGGTTTGTGTGCATAATGCTCTGTTTGGTTTCCATGCACCTGTAAATTTAGCCCTTTCTCCTCTGTTTCCATTCCTTTCAAGTTGTGCAAAATCGCATCACTGCCTTCTGGTTCAAGGGGAAGGAACTAGCCTTGGCATTTGGACTGACCCTCTCCTTCTCCCGGCTTGGGAGTGTCCTCAACTTCTTCTTCACCCAGCAGTTTGAAATCCACTTTGGTATCCAATGGACTCTCTGGGGCGGTGAGCTTTTTCATCTGGCTTCTACTTCACCTGCCTGTAGGCCCAAGATAAAATAGCCAAATGATACAGTCTAACTCTGGTAAAGAATACAGATAGGTAAGAGAGTGAACCTGGTGAATGACAGATGGGCTGTGTGTTTACAGGTAGTGTTTCCTTGATCTCCTCTTCTTTGAGGATGCAGTAAAAGATGCTTCATTGCTGCTTGAAGCGTCCTTCTAAAACTGCTGTATTTGCATCTAGGTTTGTTTGCAGCCTTTTTGTGAAATTACAGTTCCTGCAGGCATTTGTGAGTAGTATTGTGTATATGTATACTTCCTCTGAATCAGTAGAGTAAAACTGAATTACTTGCATATGTGTACACCCCCTCTGCCACGTTCTGGATTGGCTATTCACTCTGAGCGATTCCCACCAATTTGATGATAGTTTTGTCTGTATACAGATCTTAACCAGAGTCAAATGTACAGATTTAGGACTTAACTTTAAGAAAAAGTGTGTTTATGCTTGCATGTGTGCAGGGGATGTGGGATTTTCATGGCGGTGGTTTTGGTGCGTTTCTGCTCTTACCTGCATGTTGCTGGAGTGGTTTTTCCTTTTTGTATTGACAAATGGAATCCCTGTGTAGTGGTTGTCGTGATCTAGGGTCATAATATTGCCTAGGTCAATGGTTCTCAAACTTTAGCAACGTAAGGACCCCTGGTTTGAGTTAAAATTTTACGTGGACACCCAAGCCAGCTTCTAATTTTCATCAGGGTCATTGCCATAAAAGGGTGGGGATGTAAGATGTCAATAAGTGGAAATATTATGACTCATGCAGAGGGCTCTGTTCAGCTTTTCCTATTCCAGGGAAATCCTAAAGTCTCTTCCATGTTTTCAGGTACCCTGCTGTGTATCTTGGGTTTTATTTCAGCCATCACAGTCAGTGTGCTGGACAAAGTGGGCATGAAGCAGCTTGGCTTGGATGGGGTTATCCAGCAAGAGTCCAAGAAAGTGGTATGTGGCATACAGACAGACTTTTCCTCCAAAACCTTGAGGGCGGGCATGGGCTAATGAAATGTTGTTGTCTCTGCTGAGTTTGTTTTGGGAGACTGAAGTTTGCAATAGCAGTAGCTGATCTTAGTCAGAAGAGGGAGCCAATCCATGTATCCAGGTCTTATATGGTAAGTCTCCATCTAAGTCTCTGAGAATTTTGCAGCTGCAAATGACAAGGGATCATGAAAATTAAACTAAACAGAATAAATGTCGCTAGTCTCAGAGACCAGAGCCAGCACTCTGAGCACAAGGGGTTAGCAAACATTCACCTGATTTCATTGGGCAAGTTGCTTGTGCGATTTACAGAATAATTTGGTGAGAACTGGTCCATCTTCCTGCCAACGCAGAGATAGTCTCTGTGCAAGACTCTCCACCCAGTACTTCATTCATGCTGCCAGAAAAGGGTGGGATGTAGGTGTGGAGGGGGCAGAGCAAATGCTGGGACTTGGAGAGGTGAATGTGCAACCTTTCAGACTCCTGTCACCAGCTGACCCCTCTCATGGAATGGAAGAAGAAGAAGAAAACATCATTATGAAGTTGGAGGTAGTTTGTATCCTAATAATCTATGGGGCTTTTCTCTTTGCAGCGTGTTCAGGATGTCCGGCGACTGCCACTTCGCTACTGGCTCCTAGTCCTCACAATCATGTTCTTCTACAATGGAGTCTTCCCTTTTGTGGCAGATGCCAGGTACTGACCCAAACGTTAGCCCTGGTGCTGGTCACTGTTCTGAGCACTGGAGCTTCGGTATGGAGATAACTATGTCCATGTGCCTCTCCACTGAGCTAGCAGATTCAGGGGAAAGGAGAGGTTTCCAAGCAGCTTGTTCACTGTTGCCTTTGTTGAGCACGAAGCCAGAAAGGGAACAGAGCCCTCCCCCAGGCAAAGTGCTTAACATTGAGCTGTAGACTTCAGAGTCCTTTGGCCGTGTTATACAGCCATCTGTGAGATGATGATGTGAAGTATGGGAAACCTTAAGGGAACTTGGAGTCTTCCAAAAATTCAAAGATTAGAGAAGTTCAGAATCGGGTTTCCTGCAAATTAATTGTTCTCCCCTATCCTGGCTGGGATAATGCATCTGACTGGCACCTGAAAGACTCATGAAGTTCATCTAGAAGGAAGTGTCCGGTTTCTGGGGCCAGGGATTCTGTGCTACCTTAATCCGTTTGACTAAAACACTTATTGAAGTGGCAGGGTCAAAAGGAGGGAGGAATGGAGGGCTCCTGTGGGGTCAGATTCAAGGACACTGATGCTATAAAGTGTTTCCTGGCTAAACAACTCAGAACCACTGCAGCCTTCCCAAGGTGCTTCCCAAGACTGCCACACGTGAGCAGCCACCTGGAAGGTGGCCAGCAAGCCAGTATCTTAAGGAACAGATTAAAACCACTGTGCATGGCAGTTCCTGCAGCACACTGCAGTTTCCCAAATGTACTGCAGTTAGAGTAGCAGCCTGGGTTGAGAGACCTGGCTTCTGTCATGGCTCTGCCACAGACTCTATGCGACCTTGGGGCAAGTGGTTTTCCTCTGTGTTCCCGATGTTGCAAATGACTCTACTGTTACTTTTCTCACAGGAGGCTTGCAGAACTTGACAATGGCAAAGTTTTTCCCAAGTTTTTGGATCCTTGGGAGTATTTTATATTTATAAATATAAACGGCTCAGCAGTTTGGTGTGGGGCGGTGTCCTTGCAGGCTTGCTGCAGCATTTAACAAGCAACTTCCTAATATTAAAACCTAGTGAAAGCAAAATGCACAGTACTGGGATCTTTGGGGTTCTCTTGACAGTCCCTGAAATGGGCTCTCTGGCCAGCTGTCATCAGCTTGCCTTACCCAGAAATGGCTGCCCCCCAAGGCCTGATTCCTGCAGTGCTATGTCCCCACATTCTGCCCTGGAGCAATGCTCCACATTGCCTCAGGGACAAGGAGTGAGTCATGTTTGAAATATCTCTTTTGGCAGATTAATTCCAGGCTTGTTTCCAAAACAAGAATGGTTCAGTGCCGCTAGTGTCATTGATTACCTGAGTCAATTTCAGTAATTTTGCAGGGACAGCCTTTTGCTGCCCAAGAGCTACAAAATAAAATCAGCTCTTCTCAAAATAATTCTAGCCACTTAAAAGCAACCAGCTAAAATCTAAGTGACCAGAGGATTTCCAAATAAATTAAGTATAAGAGGGGTAGCCGTGTTAGTCTGGATCTGCAAATGTGACAAGGAGTCCTTATAGACTAACAGATGTATTGGAGCATAAGCTTTCGTGGGCAAAGACCCACTTCATCAGATGCATGACAAATAAATTAGTCTCTCAGCTGCTGAGCAGTGGCTTTCCACTAGCAACCTGAGCACCCTACAAGGATTTTAAAAACATTGGGTTTGCGCCATGTTTGTGCTTTAACACTATATGGAACTTGAAAGTCTTGTTTCCTGCTGTAGTGAGATTGGGACCTGTCTTCTCTGCTTTTATTATATATCCCCTTGGAGCAGCAGAGAACTGGAGTGGGAGATTTCCGAGTCCTTAATCAGAAGGTTGAAGTTAAGTGCTGATCCTTCTGTCCTCATTGTTTTGAGTGAATGTATCTAAAAAATTTACATCCATCTTGCCCTTTCTGTTTCAGGGCTATGAAATCTTCTCTCCCTCCATGGAGCCCAACTGGGAAAACACTGTTTATGGAATTTCCAAGATGTATATTTCCCTCCCCATCCTCTCAAAGTTTCAGGCCTCCTTTTATCCATCATAAAGGAAGGAAGGGCACAACCTTACCCCCTCCCATCATAGCAGACTTGTCTGTTTAGACACCTCTATAAAAAAAAAAAATGAGACTGCAGAACTATTGGCCAGACTAACTTGAGTTTATGCTTTGACAAGTTCTCCAGTTAAAAACGCTGGGTCCAGATGTCTGTGTTCAGACTTGCTTTGTGCTAATATAATTAGACCAGAATACTAATTGTGTAACTTTTTTTGGTCCCCCATAATTTTATTTTTAGCAAATTTATCCAGGATAAGTCCGCTGGCTACAGCCAGCAGGAAGCCGCTTACGTTGCTGGGGCGGTGTATGACAGCTCCCTTGTTCTTTCTGCAGCAGTTGGCATATTAATTGTGAGTATCCAGTACTTAGCACATCATCAGCTACATGGTGGATTGTCTGCTGATGTCCCAGGGCTTTGTACAACTAATGTTTTGTGCATCTCTTACGGTGATTGGGTGCAAGAAATGGGGACCTGTTTAAAATCAGAGGTCTGGAGCTCTGGGTCGTTAGTGATGCCGGGGGTTAACAGTTCTGGAACTCTTCTGGATTAGGTCAGAAGTGAAATCAATTTTATTTCTGATCCCCTAGGTCCTGTTGTAGAATTACCATGAATATTCATGAGACGCCCAAGGTAAAGTAAGAGGGATGTTGCAGGTCACAATGGAGGGGCACAGCAGAGCTTTGGAAGAACCAACTCATTCTGTGTCTGATTTATCAGTCCCTCTCTCCCCCATAAGCACTACAATGCAACATGCTGGTTTAAAACTTAAACCTTGGAGTTTCAAATTTTCCTTTGTCCCAAATGCCATTACTTGCTGTCAGGCACAACAGTGTCTTCAGTCCCTCTCAGTACATGGGGGAAACTGGGAATTCTTTGCAGGTGGTACTTTTCAGTAACATACTCTCCTAAATTAGTATTTACCAGCAGGCATTGCTCAGCTGTGTGCATTGAGAAGGAACAGTCTTGAGCCCTGTAGAAACAGTGGGGGTCTCACAGTAAATCTCCTGTTTGTCCATCAGGATTATGTAGGACTGAGAGGTGTGTTTGCAGTTGGGTGTGCGGTGCTGACGCTGCCAGTGTTTGCTCTCCTGGCATTTACGTTTGTTCCTCCGCTTGTCTCTACCGTCTGGCTGGGCATCACTTACTCCTTTGCTGCTGTAAGTATGGAGAAGCCACTGCATTAGTTGGTTGCTTTACAGTTCTGCTCCCTCCTCAGTTGTCTCCAGACATTTCCATTTTACAATACCCAAGGCTATGTCTACATTGGCAAGATTTTGTGCAAATACTTTTAACGCAAGAGTTTTTGCGTTAAAGTATTTGCGCAAGAGCGCGTCTACACTGGCATGTGCTTTTGCGCAAAAGCATCCGTACCAGTGTAGACACTCTCTTGCACAAGAAAGCTCTGGTGGCCATTTTAGCCATTGGGCTTTCTTGCGCAAGAAATTCATGTTGCCTGTCTACACTGGCCTCTTGCGCAAGAACAGTTGTGCAAAAGGGCTTATTCCTGAGCGGGAGCATCATAGTTCATGCGCAAGAGGCACTGATTTCTCGCATTAGAACGTCAGTGTTCTTGCACAAGAACTCCCCGCCAGTGTAGACAGGCAGCATGTTTTTGCGCAAAATCATGCCAATGTAGACACAGCCAAGGGCTAAATATTGGCCATGTGTAATGGCTGCATTCTGAGGGCTTTGGATTACAAAGCCTAAAGGGTGTAGTCAGCACCCCCCCATATTACCCAGAACAGCTCAAGGAACCCATTGTGGCATGGTCTGTGGGAAGCATCAGCTGTTAAGCAAGTATTGTCCTTTAATGACATCTTTTGAGCAGGGTCCACAGTACGTACCTGCCTATGTCAGTTATTTCAGCTCCTTTACTGAGCAGTTTAACTGAATTGTGTTTGCTTTAAGCTGACTGGAGTAGCTGGAGAGGAAAGATGTAGGCACTGCTATCACCCATTTATTGTTACCCTCTTGTGTGATAATGGTGGAAGGTGTAAACTCCTCCATAAGGCATCTAGATGTGTAATGGGACAATCAGCTAATGGCCTAAAGCTGGGCTGGAATTGTTAGAATCTGCTAGAAGCTGTCTTGGCAGCAAATTTTTCCTATTTTAACATCAGCCCATTTTATTACTCCTTACAACAGGCGAGTCTGTGGCCATCCATACCTCTTGTGGTTCCCCAGGCAACATTAGGGACAGCTATGGGGCTTGCAACCTCTGTGCAGATGATTGGAATTGGCCTCTCCAATCTGATTGTTGGACACATTCTGGGAACCAAGTCCAGGTGAGAAGCAGGACCTTGTCTCCTCAACAAAAGCCCACCATAAGTGTGATGGGGGCCCAACTGAGAGTAGAAAGCCAGTTTCGTTTGTGGCCTAAACCAAGCATGGTTTCAGGACCAGACGCCAACATCATGTGCTGCATTTTATCTAGATGTTACCTATGGAGCCCTGCAAATCCACAGATAACTGCTTCCTATCCATGGGTCATTTTTGAGGGTAGTGAAGCAGGTATGGATACAACCGCACAGGGCTGTATTGACTAGCAGCACCTGGCCTGCGTCATCCAGCTCTGACCGGCAGGGGGGGGGGTGGGGGGGGGCAGCATGCTCAGGGCTGACAGCAGCCAGTGCAGGGGTGGACAATAAATTTTTGCAGGGGGGCCCACTCAATTTTGGTAAGTGATCATGAGTTGCAGTTTTATATCAATGGAAGGGGTGCAAGGCCTGGACCAAAGTTGGGGTGTACAAGGGAGCTCTAGGCAGGGGACTGGAGTGTGAGTCAGTTTGGGTGCAGAAGGGGATTCTGAGCTGTGGCAGGGATACAGGGTCTGCGAGGGAGTTCTGACCTGGGGCAGGAGGCTGGGGCACAGAAAGGGGTGCAAAGTGCAGACTTCGGCCATGTCTAGGAGGCACTTACCATAGGCAGCTCTAGGCCTGCAGTGCAGAACTCAGGCAGGCTTCACACCATAGTGGCCTTGTGCCACTCAGTGGCCAGCTCTCTGCTCAAAGTGGCAGAATCTCTGCATGCCCATTTGGGGGTGGGGGGGGAAGAGAGACAGACAGTGGGTCTTTGGGTGCCTGGCTTCTGGCCAGTGGGAAGTGGGAGGATGGTGCTAGGGCCAGGGGCAGTGAGCAAACACCACTGCCTCATCCTTCTGCCCCTCCCCCCCCACCCAAGAGGTGCACAGAAACTGTTAATGCTTCCAGGAACAGCATGGCTGGGGTCATCTGGGCATTGGGACTTCTAGCATCCCTAAAGCGCTTGGTGGGCCAGAGGGACACGTTTGGTGGGACAGATCTGGCTTATGGGTCATATTTTGCCTATCTGAGTCAGTGTCTGGGACCTGGAGAATAGGGCAGGGCTGTCCAGCACCCACTTGCCATGCCCTTCACATTCAGCAGCTTTGGCATTTTATGCAGTGCTAGTGTCTCTACCAGGGCTCAGCCTGCCAGTGTTGGCTGTGCTCCCAGTCCCCCCCCCCCCCCGATTCAACAAGCACTACTGTTTCCTTGGTCCCCCTCACCAACCCCATCTCCTTGAGATCCCATCCTTGCCCCTTACCCTCAGTCCCTGCCCTCATGCTGCCTCTTCCCTGCAAGATCTTGTCTTCCCCTCCCCCCATCTCTGCTGCCTCCCTGCCCCCACTTGCTCATGTCTGCTAGCCCTTGTGAAATGCTTGTGGATGCAGATAAAAGGCTAACGGATTGCAGGTTGAGCCTGGCAGATGAGGATGCATATATTTGTATCAGCAGAGGGCTCTGGTTAAATAGTGAGGAAACATTCTCACGTTCTTTGATTATTCATCTTTTGGACTCAACAGTGAACTGAAGATCCCACTCTGGCGCTGGCAGCAGATGATGGTCTTCATGCTGGCAAACACCGTTGCATGCATTATGGCCTCTGTCTGCCTCAACGTGGTGGATAAGCAACAGGTAGCAATATACTTTCATTAGCCTCCTACATCTAGGGCCGTGGTCCCCAACACGGTGCCCGTGGGTGCCATGGTGCCCGCGGGGGCATTTCAATGCGCCCGCCAGGTGCTCGGGGCTGAATGCGCTTGCGGGGGGAGTACGCTTGGCGGGGGGAGTGCCGGGCGTGCGGCACTCGGTGGCAGGGGGGCGCGCGGCGCTCAGCGGGAGGGGGGGAGCGCTGGCCCCGGGCGCGCAGCACTCAGCGGGGGGAGGGGGGGAAGAGCACCAGCTCCAGGCGCGTGGCCCTTGGACGGGGCCCCGCCCCCTGGGCGCGCGGCAAGGAGGGGGCCCACCCCCTGGGTGCGCAAGTGTCCCCGCCCCCTGGCGGGCAAACGGCCACGCCCCTGGCGCCCGACAACCTCAAAAGGTTGGGGACCACTGATCTAGGGCAAGATGACTTGGACACTAGGAGCTAGGTCTAGACTGGCATGATTTTCTGCAAATGCTTTTAACGGAAAAGTTTTCCGTTAGAAGCATTTGCAGAAAAGAGCGTCTAGATTGGCAGGGACGCTTTTCTGCAAAAGCATTTTTTGCGGAAAAGCATCCGTGCAAATCTAGATGCGCTTTTGCGCAGAAAAGCCCCGCTCGCCTTTTTCACGATCGGAGCTTTTTTGCGCAAAACAAATCTGAGCTGTCTACACTGGCCCTTTTGCCCAAAAGGACTTTTGCCCAAATGGGAGCAGCATAGTATTTCCGCAAGAAGCACCGATTTCTTACATGAGATCGTCAGAGTTCTTGCGGAAATTCAAGGGGTCAGTATAGACAACTGGCAAGTAGACAAAACTTGCCAGTCTAGACCCAGCCTAGGTATCTTCTACAAGAAGTGCATTGGGCTAGGTCATAGGTATAAACTTAGCTCTCTTGAGTAGTGCACAGTATAAATAAGAAAGGGGTTTCCACCCACACTGGAGAGTACTGTTGAAGTGGTCATCATAGAATCTATTTTGTTTTCCCTGAGTTGCCATTCTACCTTTTAAAAGGTAGGTGTGGCAATGGTGCAAACCACCAGTATCACATACGCCGGTGGCCTAATCCCACATTCCTTCCCCCTAAGGTGGGTTATACAAAATACTGAAGACTCAAATCTGCTGAGGTTCTCTAGAAGCAACACACATTCTCTAGTAAACCTACTTGTTTGTCTGTTTCTCTGAATTGCTAGGGTGGGACTCTGAACAGATCAACAAAGCGCTCATCTGCAGCAGAGGTCAGGCAGCCTGTGGACACAGCACCACTCCTGGATGAAGTGGGAGATGAAGGGTCCATCAACTAGGAAGCATAAGGAGAGCCGCTGGTGGATCCTCCAGTGACAGTATAGCGGTTCCTCTGATGGTGTAATTTGTTAAGATTTTTTTTTACAAGGATAACCTTGTAAAAACAAGCTAATGTATGAAGGAAATTATGCACATGAAGGGAAAGTTGTTCGTTCCTGGTGTCTGGAACAAATCTGCCATATGTGACAGTCACTGCTTGTGGTGCACTTTTTAAAATGGATATTACAGTATGTAGTTTAAACTCAATCCAGCTGCTGTTTGTTCTTAGCAACTATACACTATCTTATTCACTTAATACATTTAGCATGATGGATCTCTGTATGGTATTTCACTAATATCACTGCACCTTCACAAAAAGCTCCTGCTGCAAGGGTGTGAATAGGTTGAGTACCCTTCCATTTCAGTGGTAACTGCTATTGATTGTCAGTGCCTTCTCAGATTCATTATGTGCAAAATAAGAGTGCCCCTGGGTCTTGCTTATTTTAAATTAGCATGACTACTTAGCAAAATATGTAGTTCCACTATTTTTTTAAATTAACTCCAAGTTGCAATATTCAGAGTCATGTTACACCTTTAACTGTTTTATTGAAAATAGTACAAACCCACCCTTAATCTGCTCTTAAACAAGCAACTGTCAAATGCACAGCGATCCTTGACTAAAATAATCAATTTTTACTGTGCAGTATGTTATTAAATAGAACTGAAAGCAAACACTAATTACTGCAGAGTAAACTTACTAATGTAAGAACATTATTTGATCTGAGGAAGTGGGTCTGGCCCATGAAAGCTCATCACCTAAAGACTAACAAGATGGTTTATTAAAGTGCTACATAGTCCTGTTTAATGTAAGAACAAAAAGTGCACTGAGTCCAATCAAGTACCCTTTTCTCATGTAATTGTTACAGGGGAGACACCCTCTAGTATAGCTAATTTTGTTGCATTGACATCTGAACTAGGATACATTTTTATGTAGCAATTCCATCCTGGCTTGTGTTAGTATGTGTAAGCTCATTTGAAGTTACTCTGGCTTAGGGGAAGGGTTGGACTTGAGGAACACAAGTGACTAAGGCAAGTGAAAGGCTTTTTATAAATGGAGAGGGAAAAGCTATAACGTGGCTCCACTTCTATCACCGATTTTAACGGAAAAGTTTTGTTAAAAGCATTTGCGGAAAAACATGCCAGTGTAGACATAGCCCAAGGCTCCACACTGCAGAGATTTTTCCAGGATACCAGAGATATCCCATGTAGTAAGATGAAGGCCTAAACCATAAGCCCATGTAGCAGAGGCCTGGCACAAACAGGACTGAGTATGCAAAACACTAATTGATTCTAGGTACCGACTGCAGAACAATCATTGGTACCAGTCATAAATGGAAAGCACATGTCACTAGCTCATTTAAAAAAAAAAAAAAAAAACCCTTGGTACCCACTGCTCTCAGATACAGACTCAGGTTCAGGAAAGGATCTAAAATGACAGCACAATGGATAGAGATGATCTAATTACACCACAAGGTACAGGGTGATGGGAGTTCTCAGAGGCAGGGGCAGCAGAAGTCTTTGGGGGTAACCTAGGGGGCAGTGGAAGTTTCCCACCCATTGAGTCATTCCATTGCTATGGGGTTCATGTGTAGTGGTTCAGCGGAGTCTGACAACTATTACTGTACTTCACTTAAATAAAACTGGCCTTGCACCTTTGATCCTTATCTGGTTTGCGGTCTTTGGGGACTCCCTGGGGGTCTGCTGTGGAGACTAAGTGTGCAAGTTGACACGTAACCAGCCTTCTGGTAATCATCATCAACAGAGTCAGAGTCCTGTGAGGACACCTGGGAAGTAAATCCTGATCCCCTCCTGAATAACTGCATCCCAGAAAAGCTATGATGCATCCAAAGAATGCGTCTGCTTTTTCAGAACAATTTCCAAAAAAAGCAGATGCATTCTTTCAGCATCCCTCTATTCCTCATTGCATGAGGAAGAAGGGATGTTCTGAAAGGCAGTTTTTCCAAAATTTGGCCCCATGTAGACCCGTCAAGTTTAGGAAAAGCCTCTCATCCCCACCCCCCACAAAAACAACCCCCCACAAATTGCAAACCACAATTTGCATCTTTCTGACTTTTCTCTAGTGTAGATATAGCCTTATTGATTGAGGGAGACAGTGAGTAACTTTTCCTTATTTATTTATTCCTATAGCACAAGAACTAAGGCTCACCCAATGCAATAGGTAGCTGGTTTAAAATAAAAGGAAATATTTCTTCACGCACCACAGTCAACCTGTGAAACTCCTTGGCAAATGTTGGGAAGACCAGGACTGTAATAGGGTTCAAAAAAGAAGAACTAGATAAATTAATGGAGGATAGGTCCATCAATGGCTATTAGCTAGGATGGGCAAGAATGGGTGACGGGATTGATCACTGAGGTTGCATCTAAACTACGAGTTTTCTTATCAAAAAATATGCTAATGAGGGACTCATCTGCACGAGTCAAGATCTCATTCACGTATTTTCTGCTAATCCATTTTTGTGCAAAAAAGTAGTGTGGATATTTTCTTTTTGTGCAAAACCATCTTTTTCCACAAGATCCGGTATCCTTGGCCACTGCAACAGGCACAGGTGGAGGAGGCCTGCATGTCCCCTGGCTAGTGGACAAACTCTCTGAAACATAGTAGAGAGCTGTCCTGTCTGTTCTCCACCCCTGCCAGCCCACTGGGATTATAGTTGTCCCCATCCCCATCTCTGACCCCTTGCTGCCCCTCTCTGGTTCTTCCATAGTATAATTCCCTTTTCTCAGACTCCTCCCTTTCCATTTTATGAAAAGCAGTCAGATTCCCCACACACATCCCATTCTCCTGGCACGACCAAACCCAGACCTTGCTTTAAGTTATGAGAGGTTGGTAGTACCATTTTAAGAGTTCTTGGACAGACTCAGATGGCCAGACAGATGCACAGTTTTATAATATGTAACTGTGGTCATGCATTTACCTTAGTCATTGATGGTAATGTATGGCTTACCTCCACTGTTTGTACTCAATTTTCTACCAGTGTATTAATTTTAATATTTAAATCTTATTTCATAAGTGCATAATCTCTTACCTAAAAGGTGTTCCACCAAGCGATGAAGTAGTAGAGCTTGGTCTTACCAGCAGTATTTAGATGAAGTTCAGTTTGAAGTTGAAATATGGATCCCTCATTGTTTACAGCATTCCAGCTATGCACAAAGCAATACCTTTGAGAGAGTGCCTGCATTTTTCACCTTAAGTCACAATTTCTCTCAAACTGCCACGCTAACTAATTTACCTGGAGTTGGATGTGTCATGGTCTCAGAGCATCTAGTCTACAGAACAAAAACAGCTAAATATACAAGGAGAGTTTTATGCCCTTACATTTGTTCCAATAAAGAAAAGGCTACAAGTATGAATTTTCACAAATACGAATCAATGTGTAGAGACAAGTGTAGACACTCAGTAGCAAAGTAATTAAAGGCAACATCAGACAATTTTAAGGTTTATGGAAAAGGAGACAAGACAGCAGAAAAACTCATCTAAAAAGACACTGTTGGAAGCTGCTGCACTTTCATTCTTTATCCATTATAGAGGATGCTAGTGCAAATTTTGATTCCAGGCCTGCTCCAGGATAACTGCTTCTCTAACAAGGAGGCAAGCCTGCCACCCCATTTAAGAGGATAAAGCACCTTTACAGTTAGCTAGGGTAGGAAGGAGAAGTGTTTGAGAAACCTTATTGTATTACACAAGAAATGTTATAGAATTTGATCACAGGCTAAAGTGTTTTTTAGAGACCCAACAGTAACTTATTTACAGGAGGACCCAGCTACACACAGTGAAATAACAAAATACTGTGATTTATTGAGAAGTCCATGATTTATCAATTAACACAAAGTTCCATTCCCTTTCTGCCCCTGTTAAAAATGAAGTGTCCTTATCAACTCAGACTTGAGACACTGATCAAAGGATGTAATCCAATGAGGTAACTGCTAGCCAATACCATGAAGACAAGTCCACTGTAGTTTAGACTTCACTGGAAAGTGCTGTTCAAAACAAGCCTTGTACAAATCACACTGATACTTAAGCTCCAGTTAGTCTGTAAGATACCAAGCTTTGAGTCTAAGCTCACTGACTTGCCCAAACAAACCCTTCAAAATGAAGCCAGGGCAGAAGAGTGGGCTTGGGGAATGAATTCAGACACTCTACCACCACCAGCTGCTGGGTCTCCTGGACTGGATTGTGAATATACTCTAGCCCATAGATGGCCAACAGGCTGGGAGTTTGAAACCCCCTGACTTATTAACTGAACCAGATAAGCAAGAGAGGAACAGCAGCTAGGAGCTGTTTTAGATTTGTATCCCCGCAATATAACAGATGTATTGGGATTAACCTCCCTCAGTATCGATCATCATTCTCTTACAACAGAGAGCCAAGCCTCTTGTGGGACAGAGGCACAGCAGGTATTAAGATTTCTGCACATCCACCCTGTAAAAAGGGGATTTTCACTTCTGTAAGTTAAACAGCATCTTTGACAGGCACTTCAACAGTTACTATGACCTCTAACCTATTGTAGCACCTAGCCAAGACACAGAACAGTTTGTCACAAACAGTTTTCAATGAACCTGGGTTAGAACAGGGACTGGTACATGGAGCCATTCTGTGGAAAAGGACACTTGATCTTTGGTGTTCCTGAACTGCTCCTCTGTGTAATCGGTGATTTTTTTAACCTATTACAAGTGACCAACAGCCTAAGCATCTAGTGTTATCAACTACTGACACTTTGGATATACTTGAGGAAAGTCCAGTCAGATTTAGCAACTGAAATTTGAGAACCCTCTTTCAACCACAGCCATCCCCCAACCCCACATACTCAATTATAGGAAACAATGTACATTTCTGGAAACAATTCATAACAGTCAGTGTGTCAGAAGAGTACTGCAATAATCCTTAGAGTGTCCCAAGCAGATGAACAGGACTAGAGCCTCAAGACAGCTATACCAGTATGTGTGGACAGTCCAAGTTGCTCATCCTTTACTACCAAGCAATAACTGAGGCAGTCAAAGGCAACCACGGCTAACAGAGGAGGTTTCACTAACAAAGTCAGCACAGAAACAAAAACACAAATCTACTGTACTATGGAGGATACAAGTGGAACAGTCCATTATTTCTGCAGGACAGCAGGAGGAAAAACCCTGCAAAAACTAAAGCATCTGTAACATGAGGCTGGTGATAGAACATTAAAGCTGGCTAACTAGAAATCTGAGGTGGCTGTCAAATCTAATTTTACACTACTGTAGTTTGTCAAAGTTCTTTAATTGTGTTTGCACCCAAGTCCAAATGCTTCGGTCCAAGAGTCTGAGCTACTAACCGGCTGCAAGCTTAACAGTATTTTTAAATGCTCACCATAAAGGGACACTTCTCTTGCATCTATTTGAGCTGTCCTGCAGAACTCTGCACTGTCTAGCACCTAAGAGTCTTTAGTTATTTCCATAAGCACCATAACTAAGAGGTTTTACAGTAGACTTGAACATCAGGGTGTTCTCGGTTTAGATTAGGTGAGTCAAAGTCCTCATCCTCCTGCCTAAAGCATCTGTCGCCAAACAAGTAATTGAAAACAAACTCAAGTTTCTGTGCTGACTCCATTAGTGAAAGTCAATGTTCCTAATAGAATGCAATGCTGGATTTGCCACCAGGGGGATTGAGGACTTTGTTGTGTGACCGTGGCCTTGGCCCCAGTCTGGGCTCATGATCATCTATCTTGGGGCCTGGCTCTTCTTTCCCAAGATCTCTCTTCTCACCTCTGTCTTCCATCTGTGGTTTGCGGATTTCTGTAGCTGTATGACAACAAGGGACGTTAGACCAGTTACACTGCCATGCAGTAACATTGCCTCATAAGAACAACTCACATTATGCTCTCACCAAGCAGCTAGTAATGGAGCAATAATGCATTCTGGGAAAATGAGTTACTCCTCAGCTACCGTTGAGGAAGGCCAGAATGGCACATTATGAATGGGAGAGAAGGAGGAACAGCTTACCACATGCTGTATATCTTAATTGCAAATTTCTTCACTTAAAGATCATTCCACTCAAGATTCAGATACATTAGGGGGGTGTGTAGTCTACATGGCTTCGTCGACAGAGCCATGTAGATGAGTTTACTAGACATAGCAAAATGAAGTGGCGATTTAAATAATTGCTGCTTCATTTACATGAAAATGACCGCCGTGCTGTGCTGATCAGCTGATTGTCAGCACAGCGCTGTAGTCTAGAAAGGGATCAGCCGACCCCAGCACGCTTTGTCGTCAGATCCTGCAAGCATAAAGGATCTGACAACAAAGGGTGCTGGGATCAGCTGATCCCTGTCCAGACTACAGCGCTGTGCTGACAATCAGCTGATCAGCACAGCACGGCGGTCATTTTCATGTAAATGAAGCAGCAATTATTTAAATCGCCACTTCATTTTGCTATGTCTAGTAAACTCATCTACATGGCTCCGTTGACAGAGCCATGCAGTCTAGACACACCCTACCAGAACAACTGCTGCCTGAGACAAAGCTACAGAAATGGGAGTTACGTCTGAATTTCTTCAGTTAACTTGTCCTTGCTGCTTCAGAATAGCTCTCACATTTTAAAAATTTGGGCTTAAGCACAAAAAAAAAAGTCACCTATACAAACAGGCAGCCCATCTAGGAGACACTTCCCATATCTAGATATCAGCCTAGCATAGGGCCCTCTTCCAATACTTTAGCTAAAGGGAAGCAGTTTAATAGAAGAGATTAGGTGGCTACTTCAGGGTCACATCCAATCCTATTTGCTATCATTGGAACTCATACTAAAAGTCGAACTGCCCAGTTTGAAGTTCTATAGCCATGACTGTTGCCCTGAAAACCAGCATTAGTCTTGTTTATTCTTCCTGTTTACACAGAAATACTAGAACTGGAAGAGACCTTAAGAGGTCAACAAGTCCAGTCCCCTGCCCTCATGGCAGGATCCAGTACCATCTAGACCAAGGGTTCCCAACCTTTTTCGGTCCCTGTACCCCCTTGGCTTTTAGTAAACCTTCCCATACCCCCTATTCAATATGAAAGGAAATAAATTCTAGACTCTAGAATCCACAACTTTTTTCACTATCACTACTACTTTTGGAATATTTCAATTAGGATAATCAAGTTATTTACCAAATATTCCTCGTACCCCCTTGACAAGCTTCTCGTACCCCCTGGGGGTATGCGTACCCCAGGCTGGGAACCCCTGATCTAGACCCTACCTGATAGAGGTCTATCTAACCTGCTCTTAATATCTCCAGAGATGGAGATTCTACAACCTCCCTAGGCAACTTATTCTAGTGTTTAACCATCCTGACAGGAAGTTTTTACTAATGTCCAACCTAACCCTCCCTTGTTGCAGTTTAAACCCATTGCTTCTTGGTCTATCCTCAGAGGCAATGGAGAACAATTTTTCCTCCCTCCTCGTGACCCCCTTTTAGATACCTGAAAATGGTTATCATATCCCCTCTCAGTCTTCTTTCCAAACTAAACAAGCCCAATTCTTTCTTTCAGTCTTCCTTCATAGGTCATGTTTTCTAGACCTTTAATCATTCTTGTTGCTCTTTGCTGGACCTTCTCCAATTTCTCCACAACTTTCTTGAAATGTGGTGCCCAGAACTGGACACAATACTCTAACTGAGGCCTAATCAGTGCAGAGTAGAGCAGAAGAATTACTTCTCGTGTGTTGCTCATAAAACTCCTCATACACAGGCCAAATTATTCTGCACATCATCTCAGAGAAAAAGGTTTCTCTTGCCTTACCTTTCAGTTCTTTGGGTGCATCTCCTCCCTCTTGTAAGACAATGTGATCCTACAATAAAATCAAGACTGCTTTTTAGGGCTTCAGAGGATATAGATCAACTGCTACTCCACATCAAGATATTTGACTAGAAGAGGGTTGTGGAGGGAGAGCTGATTAATTTTGGGCTGTGAAGCATAATGTAGAATTAACATACTGCACAGCACAAAGGAGCCTTGTTCAGAACATTACTTCTACCCGAAGATAGTAAACTATTTTTCTCTAAACCATTTCATAGGCACTGCATTACAAATACCTTGGGTTTGTTTGGGTGTGCTCGGACAGGGCTGGTGGGTACTGGAGATCCAAAGATATCACTTGTCTTCCCACCAGGTGGATTCATGCGCTGACGAGACTGGATAGGGTTAGGATCCTCGAAAATACCACTTCCTTTTCCCCCTGCAAGATAACTAAGTTACTTGGAAAATGGTTTTAACATTTTGTACTGTGTCCTCCTAACTTTGTTCAGAACTTTTTTTAAAATCTGATCTTAAAGAGAGTCAAATAGCCAAGTTTGAGGTTTTCAGTATCACTAACTGAATCAGTACATTCAGTCCAGAAACCCTAGAACTTTGCTTACTATAATATCCTGAAGATACTTAAGACTTTTGTCACCATGACTCAGAAAACATTTTGATTTACAGCTGAAGAAGTTTCTTTGTAGGTCATCATTTCAGCTGGAAAAGTCTCTTGCATGGACCCTCCAACTATTGGCCCCCAATACAACATGGTGGCCACATTAAGGAAGAGACCTCTAATTCTCTACTAGGATTGGACAACATGGTGATACCATGTCTATGCCATAACTTTGGCTAGAAAATTGCAGGCCTGAGTTCCTATTAGTAGTTAAGTGTATAATCTCGAGCACTTAAACCTCAATGGGTTATTAAACAGGAAGGGCTGAAAAGTGGCCTATGGTTTTAGGAATTTTTTGTAAAAGCCAAGAGATTTAGGGAAGTTCAATGTAGTAATCTAATTTTACATACTCTTCTAATTCAGGCTTTGTTCAATTCTGTGAAGTAACTTCACTTCAAATGGTATGTTTCTACAATTAACAGACCAATATGGCAGCTAAAAATAGCTATTTATGTAATGCCCCATATTTTCATACTGGCAAGCTTATCACCACTAAAAATATCCATATAACAAAAATTTACACTAAATGTGTAAGAATCATCATCCTTGAATATGTTTACACAGTACAATATCAGTTCCATTTCAAGCTTAAAAAAAGACTATGACAAGGTTTTTGCGACATGACATGTTGCTACCTAGAAACAAAAATAAAAAAGCGACTAAAGCTCACATTAGTTTTGGTCAATGTTTTAAATTTCCCCAATCCCTATATTTAGCAAGGTCAGACGGATGGCTCATCTGGAGAAAAAGTACTGTATTTACAGCACAAATTCAGGTTACAGCTTAAACACAGCACTCATGATTGAGTGCTCTCTGATTCAGAGCAGATGGGTTTACTGCAGAAGTTCAAACAACTAGCAGCAATGTATAGTTTACAGGGACAGTAACTTTGAAAAAACTCTTACAAAGGACACCACAGGATTTGGTAACACTGGGTGGATAACCCAAACCAATTAGAACTTCTGAACACACTGCCTCTGCATTGGACACTGTCCAACCCTCTAGCAGTGATCTTATGGGGGATGTGTCAGAGAGCCCTGGATACTTAATGAATATGAATGCTTATGAAAATGCACAACTCGAAGATGCTTTATGCAAAATGCATTATGCAACATATCAATGTTAAGTTATAATCTGCAGAATCTATTTTTTGCATGTATCATTCTAACTTGTATGTGAAGTTAGGAGTATGAAGTGTGAATCTAGTTTTAATTCTGACTCTGCTGATTAGGGCCATTCAGGATACTTTAGGAACACAGTGGCTCAGTACTCAACCCAACAACCTGTGAATAGTCTTGTTTGTCCTGTGAGCCTAAACTGTGATTGGTCCCATGGTTGTGATCGTGACACCTACTACTGGACTTCATGTTGCATGTGGTACTTTTCCATGGGGATGGGGCATGCTAAACAAAGGGTCCTGGCCCAGGGGATTAAGAGGCAGTCTATTTAAGGAATGGAAAGTAGTCAGTTTGTGTTTTCAGCTGACCTCGGAAACTGCCTTGCCCACCCTAACATTTATTTGGGGTTTTGGTCCTCTGGGGTCTGCGTTTCTAGATATTGAGCTCTTATAGCAGATCCTCCTAGAGTTGAACTGATTCAGCATTAGGGGAGCACCAAACCCTAACTCTGCTTTGTCTAGGGGAGACCAGAGCTTCTGGCCCAGCAATATATAGTGACAGGGAACCCCAGAGAGCAGGAAAGCAGGCATCAGTAGCTTGATCAGCATACTAGAGAATAACACCAAGGGGATTTCTGTGATCCAACCCAGAATCAGCTACATCTCTTCTCAGTGGTTTCCCTGAGGAAACTGGTGTTCTCACCTGGAGGGTTTGTTCTTTTTGGAAAGTTCTGAGGTTCCTCAGCTGCTCCAAAGATGCTAGATGTCATCCTGTGTGGTCTGCTGGAAGATGAAACTTCTTCTGTGCTCCCAAACAGATTACTAGAGCCTCCTCCAGGGGGTTTCAATACTCTGTATTGCAGAATATTACCACATACTGACAGGTGTTAAGTCATTTGAAGTCTTCTGCATTCAGTTTCAGGACAATGCAAAAGACTATTTTCATTTGGACTGTTTTCTTTGCAGCCATAAAAGATAAACACTTTTTAAAAAGGGAAAGCTTGCTTTTTGAAGAACCTGAATCTGCCATAGGCGCCAATACTGCAGATAGGCTGGAGCTGGTCTACTGGCTGGTAGCACAAGTCACCTAAAGGAACAAGTTTAACTCTCTGTACTGCTGTACTCATTGTAAAACCTTTAAGTGTTGTTCTTTTAAGTACATTAAGGAGGGGACAAAGCAGGACATGTTGGTTTTTACTCTTTGTAGGACTCAAGGAAGTAGTCCAAAACATTAGTGCCTTTGAAGTTAAATAATCTGAATGATGCGATGAAGTTTGAATACCCAGGCTCACTTCCAAGTAACTAGCTATTCTGCTCAAATACAACTGAAAATTATAACTGAACATTAAAGAGTTAGAGCTTGCTTCCTATAGAAGGTGGCAGGTCTGATCAGTCTGTTAATTTGTTGTATTATGCTGTATGTACTTCCACTGAGATGACTAGTAAGCAGTCAACCAAAAAACCCAAACCAAACCAAACATGTCAGCACATTTGGCTTTTAAGAGATAACCTTGAAAGGGAACAGCATTCAACGGCTGCAGCATTCAGGAGAATTGCATTGGCTCCATTTCCCTTGCGCACACTCCCGCAACACCGCAAGCTCTTTGAATGGGAGCTGCCCTCGCACGGGCTGTCGAGCATCCTGCGCTGGCAGGAGCCCGCAGCGTACGGAAGCGCTGGTTAGCGCGGGCCCCGCGCTCCGCTGCTGTGTGCGCAGCGGGCAGGACGGCCCGAGCAGCGGCGTTCAGGAGAATTGCATTGGCTCCATTTCCCTTGCGCACACTCCCGCAACACCGCAAGCTCTTTGAATGGGAGCTGCCCTCGCACGGGCTGTCGAGCATCCTGCGCTGGCAGGAGCCCGCAGCGTACGGAAGCGCTGGTTAGCGCGGGCCCCGCGCTCCGCTGCTGTGTGCGCAGCGGGCAGGACGGCCCGAGCAGCGGCGGTACGCGAAGGGTCTGTCCGCTCGGGGCGTGTTGCCCCCTCCCCCACAGTCAACCCGCCACCCTGCATGGCTCCCGCGGGCCCGGGCTCTGCCTACAAACCGCGGGCAGGGCAGCCAATC